TGTGTGTGTGTGTGTGTGTGTGTGTGTGTGTATATACCGCAGCAGAAGTGGTTACGCTTCATGTGAAAGGGTAGAAGATGAATACGTGCAAAAGTTACTTGCATTTTATACAATGCATGGTGTTGAAGACTGACGAAAGTCATGTGGCTATCATTTGATAATATAGTTAAAATGCAGCATCATAGTTTAAGCTGTGAACGTGCAGCATCACTTCTGAGAGCTGTGTCTCGCTGAAAGACGAGTAATGACTGAAATCAACTGCCACTGTGTTCAGCTGGAATTAAAACCCTCTGACTCCTGCACGAGGGGGGCGGGAAATGGTTTAAAATTTAGAAAACACTTTGAATTGACAGCACTGATAATTCTGTCCTATTTTCTTGATCTTACACTAATCAGCAAGCCCTAAAGGATAAACAAAGGGAAGGATTTGTCAGCACTGAGCTACATTCAGTAACAGAGAGTGTTATTGTACAGAATACACACGCTTATCATACTGATCAACATTTGAACGCATGAACGCAGCTCAGGTAGCTTCCTGCTATTGTGGTTGTTGCTGAGAAGTGGTGATTAGTCGATGGGGCCCTGGAAGATGAGCCGTGTCCAGCCGGGGGAGCTCAGGGCAGTGGAGCAGAAGGGGCAGACGGGTCTGAAGGCATGCGTCCCATGGGGCAGAGGAGTCTCAGCCCAATACTTGGCTGTCCTCTCTGAGCAGACGTGGCCACATGGCACAAAACCGTGAGTGGGGGCTCCGGCATCCACATACACCGCAGGCTCACAGCCCAGCCACAGCGGCACGTAGGGACCCACGCTCCTGCACAGGGGACATTCTCGCCGGGTGGTGGAGCCTTCACCCTCTCCTGGATCTTCCTCTCTCTCCGATCTCTGGCCCCAATCGTGGCGTCCGTGGACGTGGCCACAGGCGAGGTAGACCCAGGGTTGACGCTCTTCAAGGCTGAAGTTAGATAAAGTGTACCGATATTTTAAAGAAAATTTTTTTATGCATGCGTGTGTAACAAAATAGAAAAACCTGTGAAGAATTTTCTCCTAAAATTAGTAATTGGAAATAATCCGTTTTTAAATAAATAACAAGACCTTAATTTAACCATCAGTGTGGCCCTGACCTATGACTGCGTGGAAGGCTGGGGAACGCCAGTGTGCTGAGGCCGACGGGACACTGGGGCCGGGATGCGTTAAGCTCCTGACGAAGCGCCTCCAGGTGACGCAGAGTGGGAGAGCGCATGAGCCCCTCACCGGTGCGCCACAGCAGAGTAGCACCACAGAGATCGACGAGCGACCCGTCACGTAGTGCGCTGCTCTCCCCCTCCGCCTGAAGTGACGCACAAACAGATATTTGTGTACAATAAAAGGCAAACACAGACCCCGAAAGTTCACTGAAGAAATGTAGATATGGTAACCAAACCTGCGGCAACTCACCAGCGTCCCCCTGCTGGGTCCAGACCGTGTCTCCCGCAGCGCATAAACATCTCCACAGACGGAGATCTCCCTCCACAGGCCTTGCTTGGGATCCTCTGGGAAGCCCTGTGGGTGCATCACTAGCACCCCATTAGTGGTGAGGCCATCCATATGCCCATCAGGATTTTTCCATTTGGTTGCTTTCTCCTGTGGCAGCAAAGACATTAAAACATAATATTGATATGTTTCAGAAAGTATTTTTATTGTGTCAATCATACTGTTATTCCCAGCATGAAGAGTGCTGCTCTCGTCTTACTTTCAAATACAGGCAGTCCAAAAACACAGGGAAAAAAAACTTTGCAGTTAGATCTTCAGTGCATCACTTTCTACAACAGAAGTCCCACAGCACTGTGCAAAAGTCTTTGGCCACCGCACCATTTTGCAAGGAAAATGGGTACAGCAATTTATTGAGATGTGCAAATACACATGGAAACACATGGACAACGCACCCATCCCTTGCAGGCAGGGGCTTTTCTATGCTTGAATGATTCATAGGTCAGTGTTAAGTGGCGTAACATACAAAGCAGCACTCTCAAAATGGTCAGGTACAAGGAATGGACTGAAAATGAGTGAAAGCTAGTCAAACACTGCAATTTTTATCAGATCGTTTCATGGAAAGTTAAGCTCTCTTAAATCATCAGGATGTGTACAGTAGACAAGAAACTGGGACTCAGTTAGATTTTTCAATTACTTAAAATCTAAAATATTCTGTTATTAGAAACCTGTTGCTGGAGTATGAGTCTACTCACCCCTAAGAAAATATTTTTGGAGGAGTCAAAGCCTGCAGCATAGATGCGTGCAGTGTAAGGCGGGTTGCGCTCGCACACTATTCTGCAGGCAAAACGGGAAATGGTGCTGGGAGCAATGGAAGGATCTTCGCCTTCCTTTCCTCCAGAGGTGTCTGTTACCACAAAGTCAATAGGACTCTCTGTGGAGCGTCCAATCTGCAGGGGACAGCACAGAAAAATACTATTTATTAACTGAAACAAATGTCTCATTAAAATGTTATTGGTAAGCAGAGCTATTTCTTTTAAAGCATCAGTGCTCATAATTTTATGGCTTTGAGCTATCTGGGCAAGATGGTTCATTTTTATGTTTAAAAAGATCTGTAAGAGCAATAGAAAAGCACAAGCGTGTGCATAAAAATAGACTTTCTTGGAGCTATGACGTAAATCTCTTTATTTTTAACACTTAATGGTCCCAGTTCTGAACCAAAATAATCTACCCTCTTTGATGGGATTACATAACAGTTGGAAACTTGCACATGATCGCACTTCTTGGAGTACATTTTGCTGTGAATCCTCTCATTACTCAAAAGAAAATAAAAGTTGACTTTGTTTTCTTGCTGTGTTACCTGGAACATGTCTGTGTTGTTGTCATGGCAGTACTCCACCACCACGGTCTGGTTTCGGGACAGGGTGAAAGAGATGCTGTGCTGCCCCCTGCTGTGCACCGCCTGCAACAACAACAACAGCAACAACTTGTGGTACAGCAGTCATTTTCTGGAAGCTTCTTTCTTTTCATTTAACCACCCATATTCTTAAGTAAAACACACAGTTATAAGCAAATAAAGTATATCTACATTTTTGTTTTTAAATTCAAACAGTTTGTGCAAAGGGCCTGGCATTTATACAACACTTTTCCAGTCTTACCACTCCAAGCATTTTAAACCAACAGTCCCCAACCCCCGGGCCACGGACCGGTACTGGCCGTGAGTCATTGGAACCGGGCCGTGAGAGTTGTGAAATTGATGGGTTTTAGGGTTTTTATCGTCAACTCGGTTTTCCTGGGTCTTTTCCCCATGTGTTATGAATAAATCTTCTTTTTTTGCTACCGGTACTGGTTTTATTTTGTTGTGGCACCTTAAAGGCCGGTCAGTGAAAATATTGTTGGACATAAACCGGTCGTGGCACAAAAAAGGTTGGGGACTGCATTTTAGACTACAAGCCACATTTACCCATATAATCATACAACCTAACTTATGTCTTTGGATTGTGGGTAAAAGTCAGAGAACTCTCGCAGACCCAGGAAGAACACGCAAACTCCACCTCACCATGATTCGGGAACCTTGTTGTGAAGCCAAAGTGCTAACCACGGTACCATCATCCAACATTAAGAGCAGCATTTAGCAATGACGTGCTGGTCTTCTACTAAGCCCCAGACAAACAGATCAGCCGGTGGATGTTGATCTAATATAGATACTGGATGACGTGTCTGCTGATATAAAAACCTTTCTTTGTTGTGTTGGAAATTGCTGAATAAGATGCTTGGAAGAGTCTAGACATGGTGTCATCACACAGATTCTCTTACAGAGTCAGCTCTCAGCACAGCACATGTAACAACACAGCAGAACAGATGGTGGTGTGGTGTGGGTTTCATGGTAAGTTGTTAACCAGTTTGTGTAATACAATCCCACAAATCTGATCACTCTCATGTTCAGCTTCATTAAGTACACCACTGAAATCAAATATAATACGACAGCTCTGACACAAATTTGACACTGTCAAAAATTCCCAGGTTTTGAGATAGTTCTATGTTTTTTCAGATCACATTAGGTGGTGGTGATGAACATGACAGCATTACTTTTAGGTGGTCCTGAATGTTTGCCTCGCTCCATGGGGATATTATTTAGTGTGGCTCTGCGGCTTATAGCAGACTTCCAAAAAACAGCAAGGAATACTGCTTTCAGTGGCAGTCTAAGACTGCTGGGCCAGGAACTTTCTGGTGGACAGCTGAATGGTGTCAAGGAGAGCCAAAAAACCAACTCTGCCAGTGAGCCAGGTTGGCCCTGCCACATGGTTTTGGCCCCAGTATACTCGCCACATTGGTGCACTGTTGGTAACATTATCACACTGCCTCTTCCATTTATGGTCCCTGTTACAGTGCAGATACCTGCTGCAATATTCTCCTGAACAACAGGTGTCACCATTCAGACAAAACCTCCTAGAGGAGGAGAAGAAGTCAAAACAAGAACCAAGAACCAAAGAACAGCCAAGTTTTTCTCCACAAGGTCTCATCTTTTCGTGGCTCAAGAGTTGGGAGTTCGCCTTGTTCGAGCCCCGGCTTGGACAGTCTCGGTCGTTGTGTCCTTGGGCAAGACACTTTACCCGTTGCCTACTGGTGGTGGTCAGAGGGCCCGGTGGCGCCAGTGTCCGACAGCCTCGCCTCTGTCAGTGCGCCCCAGGGTGGCTGTGCTACAATGTAGCTGCCATCACCAGTGTGTGAATGGATGGATGACTGGATGTGTAAAGCGCTTTGGGGTCCTTAGGGACTAGTAAAGCACTATACAAATACAGGCCATTTACCATTTCAGATTGTTGCAACTTCTTCCTCTGTAAACTCTGTGAATCTCTGAGCTTCTGTGCTAATGTATGATAAAAACGGCGGTACAACCAACACAATCTTACACTTGTCTCTTCAATTAAGCTGCAGCAACTGCAGCTGCGAATCTGAAGTTTAATGTTAATAATTTGTCATACAGTGCTTTTTGTCAGGTACTGCACAGACGTTATAATGGGACCTTAACAGTGACTGAACTTTCAAAATAAAAGTAAGTGGCTTTTCAACTGGTATTCTGATCATAGGTGGTACTGTTATCTTAAATTAAATAAATAAATAAACAATACTGTTGGTTATTGTTCATATACTTGAAAGCCCACCCAAGCAAAGTCTCTGTGTGGGAAAAAGATATCCATCCAAAATAATATAAATGTTGGCCGATTTATTGATACCTGAATTTTGTACTAGCTAAAAACAGTATCCAAGCAGTAATCAGTATCAGTCATCTCCAGATTAAAATCTTAATTCAGCTCAAGTTTTTTACATGCAGCATCTTTCAGTACATCAAAACAGCCTTATGTAGGATGACACACACACACACAGACAGACCACATAAACCTGTCTTCATGATTAGTCATCCTTCCTCTGGCACACAACAGGGGTTACAGGAAGGAAACTCATGTTACACAATGATGAAAACTATAGCACACACACATGCGCATGGACACGTACCTTGCTGTCCTGTGGTGTATTGAGGATGTGCACAGCACTGGGCTTGACACCGTTGGCCTTGGCCCTTCGGTACAGAGCAAAGCGGCTCTTTCTGCGCCCACGGTCTCCGTTTGGAAGGGAGCCATTGTAGCTGGAGGAAGATAAACAAACACAAGAACATGACGAAAAATATCTACTGAAACAAACAAATGATGTTTAAGTAATCTAATTTGGGCTGGAATACAGGCGACATCTAGCTTTATTGAGAAAGCCTAATTGTGTTAAAAACACAGTTATCTTGTTTGCATACTTATCATAAGTCATCACTTAAATGACACTGAAGCTGCCAAGATGTCAGGAAAATAACGGCAATTAAAGTGCAAGCTCAATTAATTATGTGCATCTTTACAGCAATACCGCTGCTCGCTCGTTTGAAATGAATTAGAACAGCACATTCAGGCCACTCGTGATTCATGTTAAACTGCTGAACCTCAATGAGAAAGACAACCTGCACTTGATCTGACTCACTCGGCTTGTCCTTAAGGCCCACGTTCACTAAAGAAGAGCTCGCTCTTCATCTAACCTCTTACAATATAAAGCATCTTCAGCAAGACAGATTTATTTTCATCACACCATTGCCCAATTACATTAACCATAAAGAGTTGAGTAAGTGGTCTGGAGAGGATACTGAATAATACTTTGAAGCTTTGTGTTCATTAATAGCAAGCAGATATGATAGGTTCTTTCAGAGGGTGGTAAATAGCATAGTCCAGCCCATTACTGTTTTATAACTCAATATAAGGCTTTTAAATGAAAATCCTTCTGACACCTTAACTAAGATATTGAATTTGTCCTCAATGTTTTCTGTAGCTGGGTCAATGTAATTTCTTTCACAGCTTGAGTTCACAAAAAAGGCAGTATGTAAGGCTTGTGACTAATGAGCAGGACATGTTTCTTATTAAAAGCATTCAGAGGAAGTCCTGCAGGCAAGACTCACAATTTTGACAATAACCATCTTCACTGCTCCCCACAGTTGATGGGATGAAAAGCCATCTGGTCTGGTTTTCTTCTGACTTTTGGTCTTGATTTGAGTACAAAAGGAAGCACTGCCTACTTTTTGAGTGTCAGTAAAGTGTAGCTCTGACACTGCGATGAATTTACAAAAGGAATGAAGAAAGATGATTTAAGTGACTTTGCAAGTGGCATGTTCTAGACGGGTGGTCTGAGCATTTCAGAAACTGTTGATCTGCTTGGATGTTCCCACACAGCCATCTCTAAGTTTAACTGAGAGTGGTCCGAAAAAGGGAAATATCTGATGAGGGGCAGTTCTCTGGGATGAACAATGCCTTATTGATACCACTCACAGGAGTATGGCATAGATGTATTCAGACTGAGTCGGTAACAGTAATTCAAATAAGCACTCAATACAACCAAGGTATGCAGAAGAGCATCTCTGAATGCACAACATATTAAACTTGAAGCAGTTGGAAGACCACATTGGGTGCCACTCATGTGAAGAAATGTATGTCCTAACTTACGTAATAATTGGAAACTCATTTCACCCCTACACCACAACCTTTCACGCCATTTAAGTCTTTTGTATCCATCAACCCAATGTGTAGGCACATTTCTCAGAGGTACACATCAGGTCGGTGCGTAGGGTTATAACAAGGTTCCAGTTATGGCGTAAGTTACAACATAAATCTGACGTATAAGTATAATTAACACGTAAGAATGGAAAACTGAGTCTATAATGTCCACAAGCTCACTGAAAGTGGAAAACAGAAGACTGGAGTCTCAATTTTACAGCGACATTTAGATGATAGGGTCAGAATCTGCCATTAACATGTTGGTAATGGATCCATCCTGCCTTGTATCGATGGTTCAGGTTGGTGGTGGTATAATGATGTGAGGGATACGTTCTTGACCGATCAGTATCCCTGTTAAAATGCCACAATATACCAGAATATTGCAGCTGACCATGTCCATCCCTTTATAATACAGTGTACCTATTTTCTGATGGCTGCTTCCAGCAGGATAACACAAACTATGCTAGAAAGGTAAAATCATCTCAAACTGCTTCCTTGAAATCGGAATGCACCGATCCAATATTAAGATCAGATATTAGTCTGACAGCCCTCCCCCCCCCTAAAAGAACAAAGCAAACAAACAAAAAAACTGGTCTGGTTACTGGTCTGGATATAGGTTATACTGAACTGATCTGTGGTCTGATACATTCATTTCAGTTCACTATGGTTCTGTGTTTACTTCCTCACTAGACAGCAGCAGCTAGCAGCAGAGCTAATGTAGCATGGAGCGAGCAAACACCAGAATGTCAGCAGTTTGGAGGCATTGCAACAGCTTCGGTCTCTAAATTTGCAAAGTTGTTGTTTGTTTTTTTTGCTGCAAACTGGGCTCAAGGTGACATGACTGACAACACCTGACAATGAAGATGCTTTCTGTCTCTTCCTTCACTAGTTTACTTTCACTCTCATTATATTCTGTCACCGACCATATCTAAGAAGATAGAAGGACACTGGTTTAGTGTTACACCTGTTGGTAATCTTCTATTATACTTATGGTAACGTGACCTCTCCTGACAGCTCACAGCTGTGTGTGAGGATGAAAAGGGAAAACTGTTAATAACAGCAGTTTCCAGCAACCTAATGTCGCTCACTTGAATCACTCTAATATCACTTTGACATGAGCTCTCTGAAAATAAATTAGATGAACAACTTTAGCATATTTTTCATAGTTTTTCACTGCATTTACCCCAGGCCTATTTTTATTTATTCTTTTACTATTTAATACTAACACTTCAATAAATTTGTATTCATGAAAAAATGTAAACTGTCTTTGATGGTTCAATCTGTGAGCTTGTCTAAGAGCAAGTTGATATTGTGCATTTCAATTCCATGAATCTCAGAACATAAATTTTCTGTGGTTGACAATCCTCAGGATAGAGCGGGGAAGAAAGGTGGGATGATGATGCTGAACAGATCAAGTATGTCACCTGGAAATACTACAAACAGGGCACATTCAACTTTGATTTTTTTTTATGTGAAATCCAATTAAAGAGCATGACTCAATGCAAACCTGTACCCTTCCTGGCCTGCTCTGACAGTTCAAACTAAACTGTGACTAACAAGGAAAAGACTGGTGCAGGAATCACGGACACGCAAACACAGAGCTTTCAGGGCTTTGGCCAAAAGTCAGAGCACATAAAATAGGGCAAAGGATAAGAGGCTGCAGGAGATAGAGAAAAGGGTAGCAGGTTGTTCGAAATGGACGCAGAAAAACAGTCAGAAGCTATCACAAGTTTTAGAGAAATAAGTGAATAAAATGAAGGACGGGAGATGGAGAACAGGGACTGAAAGATCACGCAAAGCAGAGGATTGAGGGGGAAAGGCCAGAAGGAGAGCAGCTCTTTAAGATGCGTTTGTGGGCAGTTCAGGCCTGCATCACAAATGTGCACACATCATAAGGCACTATATGAAATATTCACTCCTTCTGCCCCTCAACACGGGGTTTATTTTCGTTGAGGGCAAGTCACCAAGGAGGCCTGCCTCTGTTAAAGTCAGCACTCAGCAAAACACTGAATGGTCGGCTAGAGAAGGGGCTGGGTGATAGACAGAGGAATGAGACAGAGACCATATTGAGATAAGTTATGGAGGAGAATAGAAAGGTGTGAGAAGACAAGAGGGTGTTCACATAGCAAATAGAGGGGGTTGCTGGACGGGGCAGCACGGTACATGGTGTCCAGAATAACTAAGGTGACAAGAGATAGCAGGCAAGCAGCCTCTGCAAAGATCACATGGCCAGCAGTGAAGTAGACATTGACCACAAGGGGCATGGGATCATCAAAGCTGACAGATGCAAAGCCAAACCACAGTTGCATAAAACATGGCCAGAAAATTATGAAATCTGACAGCAGTAAAAGATACAACCTGTTCTTACACTGCCTGCCTCCAGGCAAAATTACCTGCTGTATGTTTGAGAGCAATAAATTCCACAAATCCAAATGTAATATACCTGTGATCACCCATATAATAAAACAATTATTCACAATATTACTGTACCGTGTACTACTACAACCAGGCTGTGGCACTGGAAGATAGTTAATCAGCTTTATCTCTTTATCCTTGTCTGTCAGCTCTTTTTCAAAACCACAGACAGGTTACCAGTCTGGCAGGGCACAATCAAAACCGACTCTCAATCACCACAGCTTTGAAAGTGAGGTTGTACAAAATGCATTTTTTTAGCCATCGAGGAGGCGCATTTCGGCACACACTGCAGAGCACACTGGTGTTCAAGTTCCACAGCCAAAAAAAGGAAAAAAATTCTCAAAATAGGCATTCAGTTCTCACATCCTTACTCTGATGTGAGCGTGTAAAGGGCTGCTGTGTTCAAACGGACGTTAATCAGTATTCTAATGCAGGCGGGCTACAGCCTCCTCACTCTGTGTTCAGCTGGAGGGGAAGAGATAGGCCATTAGGTCAGTTATCTTTGGCATACACAGGAAGCTCTGCAGGGCAAAAGGGAGGCCTGTGTAAGGCTGTGTATATGATTGTGTATGTGTATATGTGTGTTGTAATTTCCTGGTCCTTGCAAACTGTGCATAGAGTGGAGCTGCAGGGCTGGAAGTGCTGTGGAAGCTGGTGGCTGTCATCAGCACATCCTGCCCACTCCTGTACTTGTGTGCGCTGGTGATGTAGAAGGGCTTTTCTCCTCCTCCGCCTCCTCCTCCTTCCTCCCTCACTCCCTCCCTCCCGCCCTGGCATGGACGGTCATCTGGCTGAGACGTTTTATTAATTAGTAATACCAAACGAGAGCGCGACTATGACTATGAATATAAGCAAAACGCATTTTTCAGACGATGCTGTTCTCCTCCCTGCTACTTTTAGCGAGCACCGATCCAGCAAAGTATGACATCATTGGGATTTTCAGGTCTGAGCAATCCAGCGCTGCCACTACAACCATTGATGAAAAACCGGCTACATCCGTAGTAGCCTTATGTACTATGGCCAAGGCAGATGTTGCACCTTTACACTTAAACATGATGGAGAAACTATGCTGGGCTGTAGTTTGAGATAAAATGCCTTAAAAACTTACTTTTTAACATTACTACACAGCTACACCGGTGAGGGAAAACGACGACAATGTAACATAAATGAGAAATAAGCTAAAATCCCTTACTACGATTGATTTAATAACCCTAAAACAACCGTAAGCGCGATATATTTTGTAAGAGCAGTGGATTAAAGCTGAACTCGAACGTCATTTGCTGGGTTATTTGTGCTGGTGAAACCGCTACATATTTAAAGGTTAATTTGCCACTGGAGCTGTTCACCAAACGATATAATTTCACTCTAGCTTAAGGTTTTAAAAGACTTACCCCAAAATGACCAATTCGCCGTATTTTACCGGGTCTTTAACGGGCACATCATCATCTCCGTCTTTTTTCGGTGAATTCATCAGACTGGACTGGTCCAGATGGGGCAAAAAACGCGTCCAATTGCAATAGTGGTGAGATAAAACAATGCTAACACACTCGAAACTGTAGGGAAGTGGTTTTGGTTGTAGACTACCAAAGTTTGGGCACTGTTGGGCAAAGTTTTTCCAGACTTCTAGGTGTTTTTTTCATTGTTTTAATCCGGTGAAGGAGCATCTTTTCGTGGCTTTAATGCCAGTGTGTAGCTAGTTTGTATCGCGACAAATCTGTTCAGTAGCAGGGGATACAACAACGGCTAACGGTAGGGAGTGGGCTGTACCATAAATTGGGGGAAGAGGATGCCATTCACAGCATATGTCGAAAAATTTGATAAAATTTACGCCCGTTGGGAAAAACGTGCAACTTCTCGATTGAAAATGCTGCTAAAAACTTCACGTGCGATTATTAGATAAATAAATGCAGTTCAGCATTTAGAACGTAAAAGCGCCATGAACGTACCCACCCGCGGAATACGAATGGATGCATCCGTGATGTGAAGCTGGCTCCCCCCGATAGAATAAAATGAGCCATTTCGAAATCCACAGGAAGTACCCGCATCCCCCTGCCATACAGAGGGATTCTACTATATTTAAAGTAAAATACTACCTCACTGGATTTTTTTATTTATTTATTGGTATGGTCATAAGTGATGCTGATCTAACGGGCCATTATTCAGTCTGACGTAAGGAGGAGCTCCGGGGGGTGTGGTGGTGGAGCTAAGATGTGGGTCACCACTGCGCCCCCAGACTACACCTTCCCCCCCCGCTCCCTGGATTTCATGTGGGAGTCGGGAGACGGATATAGGACGGCTGGAACTCACGCGTGCATCCCTCTCTCGCTCTTTTCTCTCACACTGTAGTAAGGCATCATGTTGTGACCGCATGAGGGCAGTGCACTTGCTAAGTACAACTTTCCAGCCAGTAAAGTCTGAAAGGGTTTTTTTGTGACTAATTTTCCAGTTTAAATATCACTTCTATTTACACGCACTGTCCAGTAATATAAACGAATGAACAGCTAAGCTTAGATATGACACCTCCACCCCACACCAACACATGAAAGCAAAACCTTTGCTGCAGGGGTTTTGAACAGAAGCCAGAGACACACTGATCAGCATCGTTGTTTTCATGTGGAGCAGTCCCCTTTTTCATGTTTTGGCTTACTGGTGTAACATGTAGTAGCTTGCAGATAGGGTTGCAAGGCGAAACGGTATAGCACTCTGCATGACTCTGCAGTGTGTGGCAGTGTCGGGCCTCTTTTTACTGGATATATGGGACAGCAGTAAAACATTTGCATGTGCAAATTTACAGATGTTAACCTAATTGCTATGATAATAGTTTCAAAAGGTAATGACTGTGCCCTCAGTAACACATTTGCAGTGCTACAGAGCAGTGATGACACTGTATGTGGGTAATGACTCATGAATCAGCTTCAGAATTAACCAAAGCAAACAGCCACACCCTTATTTCATAATTGACAGCCCACAGCAGTCACAGAGTAACTGATCAACCAGCGTGAGCACTAAGTAATCTTTTGTATACTGGATATCAGAAGGTTAACCTCCAACATACTTTTCTTCTGAGATACAAAGTAGAAACTGGACGGACCAGATGTGCATGCTTCTCTGTGTGTTTGTGTTTGTGCATGTTTCAGTGTGAGTTTCTTCCTTTTCCACTGTGAGATTAAGGTCACACCCTCCTCAGTCTCTCCTGCCATCTCTCCCATATTCCCTGCTTTTTTCCTTCTGCTTCTTTATTTTTGTCTGCCTGTCCTTGTTCGGCTTCAGTTTCAGTATTAAACTAGAAAATATTTTTGTACTAATCCTCACTGTTCCTTTTAATTTACATAGTTTGTGGCCATAATAATCCATCAGCAGGACAAGGATCCAGTTTTCGCTGTCGGGATTATTTACCTGTCATGTCTAACCAGGAATTTAAGGAATGTTCTGAATGAATACAACCCCACTCCATGTCTGGTAATTGGCTAACTATGTTTAATGATCATGTAGTAATCCCCATCTGAGTGTTTTATCATTTTTACTGACGTCGCTGAACGATTGCAGCAACAGACCAGTAGGAGGGATTCATCTGCGTTTTAAAGGATACCGCAGAATAGATGTTTGTTGTCACGTAGAGAGCTGAAAAGGCACTCTATTAGTAAAGTGTCTCATTCACAGCATCATCCTGCTGCCACAAATAGAAGAGGAAACAGCAGAGGCCATGTTTCCATGACCTCATAGCCCCGTCATATTCGCCGAAGACAAACTGAACTCGTTTGACAGATTGGACGTGGCACTTTGATTGGCAGCCACTTTGCATTGTCAGTCAAACACATTGCCATGGGCTTATCACAGTATGCAGTCTTTTTTATATTCACAGCATAGAAAATGTACATTAGAAGTCAATATTACAAAATCGTTTGTGTCACCTACATTGGGGCTATTTATCTGTATCACGTGCGTAACAGGGTTAGTGGGCAAGTTATCCAGACACCATAGTTGGTAAGCAAATTTCAGGTCAGCCTAATTGTGAACATGTGAAGTGCATTACTTCTGCTATCATTCTTCAGCTTTTGGCAGGCTGTATTTTCAAGTAAAGCAAAAAATAGAAATGGGGTGGTAGCTGAATATTTTAGAAGTGGATGTTTGAATAGAAGACACACCAGCATGAACCATTTTGGAATAGCTCTACGTTACTGTGTTCCAAATATTAGTGACTCTCCTGTTATACGCATATACCTCTAAAGTCAACAGAGCTCAATCCAATAGAACACCTGATACTGACACCGCTGTCGGTGTTTCGAATTAGGAGCCTAACTCTCATAGCTCAGAATGTGACTTATGTTTCCATGATTTATAGCCAGAGTCGTGTTCTGATTTCAACAATCTGCATTCAGTTTGTGCTGATCTAAAAAGTAAACATGTAAGTAGAAGAATGGTAAGTAAGAGATGGGATTCAAGACAATCAATTTGGACCACTTAGATGTGTTCCAGCCATCTGCTGCCAAGTCTTTGTCAATGTTGCCATAGTGATGTGAGCAAACAAAGAAAAGGTATTTCTGTCATTAAGCGACCCTGTCTTCGCTGTGTGTCGTAAGAACTTGTGAATTGGTGAAGCAGAGCCCTAAGCATTTGGGAATAATGCACACTAAACACAATGATCCTAATGTTTAATACAATTACAGTACATGATTTAGTTCGTAAGCTGTTAAATGCATCCATGTGTGCTGTGTGTCCTTTGGAACAGTCACCTACCTGTGATGCACAAGTGCACACATACCTGCTGGGTATGCGTGTATCTGTGTGTGAGAGAGAGAGAGACTGCACTCCCTTTACTTGATGAGGAGGCCATCTTCAGCACAGGGCTGACACGATATTGCAGATGGCTCAGCATATTCTTATTCTCTATGACAGGACAAATACACACCAGGCTGGGCTGGTGATTTTGCTCCCCCCCCGGTTCAAAGCAAGACAAGGAAAGATTATATAGGATCATGTGATTAACAAGAGATAAGGAAGTCACTGAAGATCTCACAGAAACAAATCATAGATGGACCAAATAAACCTGCTGTGCATGTGACAGGATTAACCTTTGAAATCAGTGGGTTAGGCAATCTGCACTTCAGCATTTTAGTCTGAGAACTGTATTAAATCCCAACGTGCAAAAGGGATTAAATAAATGCAACATTTTCGAGAAAAACCATAAGGTTAACCTAAGTGAACAGAGCAGTTGTACACATGCAAATTGCACAGTCAGCCACAACAATCAAACCACTGCCTAATATTGCGTGAGACCCCGTGTCCCTCACCGATCTGTTGTTTCTGGTTCAATTTGTGTCTAAACCGTCGACAGTAAAATATTTGCATAGCTCTTTTTAACTCTGAATTGTACTTCAGTTGCAACAAAACTATTTTGGGAAACAAACCGTATCAGGTGCTAATCCGACACCTGATGTGTCCTTCCAACTTCACCGCGATTGTCTTGTTGCACTTCCTCTCATTTGAGTATGTGGTCCAGATGTTTCATTTGACTAAAAAAGCAGAGATAACATCTGGTCACGTGTTGTGCCAACAGACACAGCGGGCATGTGAACAGGAATTTTGACACAAATGGAAGCTCACCTGCCAGTGTCGGACCTAAACCTTTGGAGTTACCTTGTGTTGCCTGTCTGTAGGACATTTGCAACAGTTCTTTGCAGGTTATACGTCATGGCCTAGTGTGCACATTGCATGCATGGTTGATCTAGAAGGTTTAGATGCAAGAAGGTATATCTAAACCTGTGTAAAGCGCTTTCAGTGCTCAGTTAGAGTAAAAAAAAGTGCTATATAAGAATCAGTTCATTTACCATTTGCAATGATATTGCTATGTGGGGTGCGCTTTGGCCACCACCTTGTTTAGATGCATGGTCATACCCATCTGACAGTGATCAATGGCGCTCACTTACCTGTAAGCGGTTTTAATGTCGTGGCTGATCAGTGTGCACACTCAGTGTGTCAAGGATCTATGACAATGCACTTGTGCTCCAGCTTAAACACTGACAGGTGAGCTGAGACAGCAGCCTTTCGCACAGCGTCTCACCAACACCTCTCAGCAACCTGCCATACATGTACATGACCCGAGTACACAGACTAAACACACAGCTGCTGGTGTGTGAAGCTATATGCTCTGTGTCCTACATAAAAGAAGGTGGCTCGCCAAATTGGACATTAGTAAGAGCCAGTGGGGAGGCTGTGTGTGGTGAGTTTATTTTGGGATTTAGTGCTGTGTGTTATTTAGGGATGAACATTGTATTGGTGACTCTGCTTCTGTGTTTGTGTAAGTGGGAGGTTGACAACAGTCCCCAGAGAGAGAGAGGGGGACATTTAGCTTAATTGTCTCCCCCTTCAGAGTGCGACAGTGTAAATGGCAGCCTGTAACCTATGATTATTATGTTTTATTAGCACAGTTTTTAGAGGACGTGTGAAGGCATAGTAACACTTGTTGACTGTTTTAGCAAAAAAAAAAAAGCAGGGGAGATTTGAGTCAGAGGGAAACTAACATATGTTGGTTACGTTTCAGTGTCCAAACCCATATTCAAAACAATCAGGGTTTCACAATAGAAAACACAGCAGCAAGACAGTCAAGGTAATTACAGTGCTGTTTAGCAGACACATCATTTAGTCCATAATAACAATAATTTGACTCTGCTATTGTTATTGTCTCCACACTATTCTGCTAATCTTCTTTTGGTTATCTGAATTTGTCCATATGCTGCTGTGGT